AATGTTGTCCGAAAGATAACATTAAGAAAGAAAGGATTTAATGTTCAATACAAGTTCCATAGCTGAAAAGCAGAAACCAGAAAATGTAAGTGGGAGAAGATGCAACATCATAAGTTGTTCACATATGGAAGAGCTCAGCACTTAAAATAAATGGGAAGAAGCTGGACCTTCTGAATGCAACTCTCATTACTTTGCCATCACTGCTACCAGCTGTTGCTTCACAAAAACCTAAATGCAGGCAAGACTAAAAACATGTGTGTGGTAATCAGTGTATTGATAAGGAATGCAACATCACTACCACAAAGATTGCTGGATGACTTAATACAACAGTCTACCTATTTATTGTCTCAATCTCATCTTTAAATAAATATAATTCCAACAATTAGGCTGTGCATATGCAAGAAATAAGCCACAGCATCAAAACAAAAAGGGCTCAAGGGAACAGTACTTGATTTGTCAGTTATATTCAACTACAAAGACTTATGAAACTCAAACCCTCTGTTTTGAAGTTTCAGGAACAGTTCAAGGAAGTCTCCTGCAATTTCCACATCAATGGCTAAAATAACTTCATGGCTTTTCCAGTGGTTAACTTCAAAGACAATGGGTAAAACTTTCTTCCCTCACCCTAAACAGGGTTTAATTCTTCATGCTTCCTATCGGTGTCCACTTGAATATTTCCTCTATCTTAGATTTCTAATACATGCACAACATAAATAAATTGCCTGTGTCCAAGAAGCATTTGGAAAATGCTCAGAGATAAATGGTTACATTTTTAGGCTGCTCTGTGTGGAGTCAGAAGTAGGACTACTTGATCCATGATGATCCTTGTGGTTCCCTTCCAGCTCAAGGAGTTTCAATGATTTATGTGGGAAGAATATACACACAAGATTGTGTAGTATTAATCTTGAAAGAGTTCAAATTTCCAATGCTGATTATTGAATGGATAAGTTCTTACAATTTTTTTCTCATTTGAAATTATGTTCAGGACCATTATTAAATTAATAAATGAAATAATAGCCAGTATTTCCAAATGTCAATTACTACATCTTGCATAGAACTGACAGGAAAGGCAGACCAATCATTCACAACTTCTTCCTCACATATACTTTTCACTGTATGAATTTTTTCTTACACTTTTTCTGTCTAATAAAATCACTGGCTACAAACCACTCATTAGTAAACTAAAATAAAAAACCTATTTCTATTTTCCCATTATTAATATGTATGCATCTCATTTTATAAGAATCTGTCTCAAAACACATTTAATGTGAGACTTTATGATCCAATACTCTATTATTTTAGAGCACATCACTAGACAATAGGGTAGCAAAGATGACAGCATATTAGCTATCAAATTACAAAGAGTTTCCTGTTATCCTAAAGTAACACACACACTCACAGTGCTGTCAGCGGATCTTTCCTTTGGTATTATCTGGAGAATAAAGGATACCCACTGTCCTATATTCCTAGAATAGGTTGCACGCAATCTAGGGTAAAATTGCTTTTAGCAACAATCGTGTTGTCCATGAATAAAAAGTCATTGAACTTTTCTCCCGAAGCACAGTTACACAGTTATAATTACACATTAAATCATCTAACCCATCCCACACCACACAACAGCAACAAGCCTAAATCGTCCCTTACAATGAGAACATGAAACATCTGCTACAGTTTGCAAAATCATATGGTAGGGGAGAAAAAAAATACTAGTTTGGGAAACAGAGTTAATTTAAATGTAGTTTGGGGACAAATGTATGCCTGATGAACATGACACATTTGGAGTATATGCATAATAAAATTAAGAAGTGCATTATGTGTCATTTCACTGGAAACTGCAGAATTAGTATAATAAATACTACTTCCTCTGAGAAATAAGCTATCAAATCCCATATAGAAATTACTTTTAAATGAGAGCCTAAAAAAAAATATAGGCAGTGCCTGCATCCCTCCATTTAAATCTGGTGCACATCACAAAGCAGCCCTATCTGGAGCTGTGAGGTTATGAATAAAGGACAGCTTTGATTCTCAACTAAACAAAAGGTAGCTCAGAACATTATATTCAACGTGTCACACATAAGCATGTCAAATGCATGTGAATACTAATTCCTAACTAAAGCAGAAGCAGGAACAGTTTAAAATATACCATTTGCTTCATACAAGCTTCCAAAACAAATACGCTTAGGGGAATAAACTAAAATTCCATTCAGAAAGCCTAGAAAATAGTATACTAACTTCGTATGCAGTTACAAAAGTTTTTAGATCAGCTCGTTTGCACATAAATGAGAAAAATTTAAAAGGTTTTATTAAATAGAGCAGACAAACACAGAATAAATAAATGTTTATCTTTTTTTAATGACTGGTCCTGTATTATCTGATTTAGGAATTTATAGCCCTATAAAAAAAAAATTGTGATCCAAGTCCTTAGAAAACATGCAACTTTGACAGCAGTTGAATGTCTTGGCCAGAAGAGAGAATGTGAAGTTTCATCTGCACTAGGTTTCTTTTACTGTTATGTCTGAAACAGCCAAGTTGAAAAAATTTTCTAACACACCCTCACAGAGATTAACAAAAGACCAGAAGGAGCTTCAGGTATACTGCAGCTAACCTCTCCATGCTGCTGAACAGCTTTTATGATATGTACCACCTTTCTAGTAGGTCAGCTAGAATCTGTTATAAAGCACGGCAATGAAGTCCCATCATTATGATTTCCCTTTATGTGTACACCGCTTTCTTCTCCCAACCCCACCAGAAAGGTTTATCTGTAAATCAAATAAGGAAATTAGGAAAATTCTATTATATACCTAAGAGATTAAAAACAAGCATAAAGAACAGGAATTATTATTTCAAAAAGAATATAAAAAGAATTTGTTGAGACCTGTACACTAGATACGGATTTGAAAAGAATAATCAATAAATTGGAAACTATTCAGTCATCACACAGAAAAGAGGTATGAAGACATCTGACTTCTAATTTTGTACTTCTGAAATTAGATCACTAAAGAAAACCCTGTGCACTAAATACCATACAAATAATACAAATCTATAACTCAGCAAACAAAACCAGAAATATCTGAGACTTCAGCCAATTTCTGACAACAGGAAAAAAAGTAATCTGTATTTGTGCAGATTACTCTTTTTACAAGATACATCAAAGCTGAAATATAGGTCAGCTGAGAAGTGTTTGCACTGTGGCATCTGCTGCTATCTAACTGTCAGCCAGACAACTAACAGTGTTTTCTATAACAAGAGATTAAAGACCAACTTAAAGGAACTTTCCATAGAGACTACAGAAGATGTTTATTTTCTGGTTTTAGCACTGTATCTGCCAAAAATATTTTGAGATTAATTAGTTCTAGCAGTTGCATACAAAACAAGAATATACTTAAATATCAACTCTGTTGTCTTAAAACATATGGGGGAAGTACACAGCACAAGTTACGCATCAATCAGCGCCACACAGCTGGCTCTTCAGGCATCATACCAAAGATCTACAAGTCTTCTACAAACACAAAAAGGTCCACTATCAAACTGCCAAAGGCAACTAAAGCAATGCAATATTAAGAATACTCTCACAAATGTAGAATCAACCTGTACCACAAACAGATATTATTCAACACTAAAGGATTCTTCTGGTCCTCCTAGTCCAGATAATAGTTTTGTTACTGGCCCCTTGCACTAGCAACTTTTAGAACTGAGTGGTAAAGTTGAAACTTGATGTCTGGCAATATTCCTGGAAGTTGTGTATAGTTCAGGAGAAAGTGAGCAACAATTTGCTGTGCTCTGGATGCTGCATTTTTGACACCACTAAAAATTAATTTGTTTTCTTTTATTCTTTTTCTTCTCACATTTCAGTATAACCAGTATCAGTCATTTTAGTCTTAAAACTTTGCCACTACCAGTTTTTAAACTACCTGCATTTGTAGTCTGGAACAAGTATTTATAGTATGAATCAACCTAAGAACACTACAGCAGTACTGTAGCTTAAACAAGCCCTCAAGAGGACAAAGTACAGGGAAGTAACAGCAAAAATTAGCTCTTGAACTACAGTATCAAAAACATAATGGCTTTTTCTAGGTCACTTTCTGGTAGTATGGCTAGTACTTCTCAAAACCCATGAAAAGAAAATAACACCGGCAAACATCTCAAAAAGCAGGGTTTTTTTCCATCTTATGGCTATAAAGAGCTTACAGAGACTTTCTACCCGCAGTTCGTAATACACTTAATATAATTTTTTTCTGTTAGGAAAAGGGGCCCTGTTTGGGCCAAGCTAAATCGGAAGCATGGAAGGACTTCACATTCCAGAAATGAATTTTTAATCAGGACAATTAGCTCCTTAGTTGTAACATTTGCTGCAAGAGCCTAACAAACCATTCAGAGCACCCTGAACTGTACTGACTCAGCATTTATTTTTCTTCAAGATCCCAACCCTCACAATCAGGATGAATCCTCTTACACACACTGCAAGCATCCATTCAGTAAAAGATTAGCATAATATTAAGGCCACCTGAAGTACAGAAATGAACAACACTGAATGTTTTATTGTGCAGCCATTTGGTTACGCTGAAGAGGGAACAACCACCCAGCCAAGACATGTGGCACAAATTACCATCATTACAGTATTTTGCACAGTTTTAAGAACTCCGGTCAGTACCTGCATGTCAACATGGAAGTCACAATGTGCTTCCAGGGCCTACTCTTAAGGAAAGCCAGTCTGGCAAGACCAAAGAATCAGAATACCAATCTGCTCTTGTACAAAATTAAGCGGGCACAGAATACTCCACCTTCCTTATAAAGCTCAATATTACAAGGCTAAACATCCAGATACTTTTTTTTTAATTGAAAGGGCCTATTTAAAATAGTATTTCTTCCTCTGTTCATAAGGCCATGTCGAGAGATAATCACTTTACCACTTGTAGCTGACTACCCCCTTTTCCTGTCCTGGCTCAGAGAAGCTGAAAGCATGAATTAAGTCATATTCACAGCCATCCCATTTCACCTACCTGATATAGGGATCCCTCCCAGACCTGTGCTGTGTTGTGGTGGGAGATTCAAGTCCAAGAAATTACTATTTGAGGTGGGATTTGCTGTGTGGTTCAAGTGCATGATGCTATTGCGTGGAAAGGCCATCCAAGGATAGCGAGCTGCTTGGCCTGGAAAGCTGAAGGAGTTGTAAACTGCTCGATGCTGTTGAAACTGTGGGAACCTCTGTGGCATGACTGGAAATGTGCTACTGAGAGAGTTGGCATTTGTGGGTGCAGCAGGATGCAGGAATCCAGAGCCTGGCCCTTTGGCAGTTGTAGTGTGTGGGGTAGGGTTCTGAAGAGATGTGGGCGAGAGGGAAGGTTGGTCTTGGACTGACAGTTCCTTCTCAATCAGGTCTGCTAAGGCTTTGCGGGTGATGTCAAAAGGGTCAAACCCTAAGTCGTCCTCTTGCTGTTTGGAGGAACCAAACCCGAAAGCCGCTTGCCAGTCTGTGGAGGAGGATACTGGTATAGTTTCTGTGAGAGAGAACAGGATTTAGAGTAAGACTTAGCATTTACCCATACAAAAATTTCAGCCTCAGTGTATCTGAATCTGTATTACTAGTTACCTCTCATGTAATACTCCTTTAAACCTTCCCAAAAGGCACCTTATTGATCAGCTTAGAATGCCATTTTCAATCAAACTATCATATATTTCTACTTAAGATGAAGAGGTAGAACAAGCAAATAATATTCTTACTGCAGAATTGCTCTGTTCCTGAACTACAGAATAGCCTTGTCAAGTATTTTCAGTAATAGTACCAAGCAGAAAGAGACCAATAAACACTTGCTTAAAACCTTCTTTAAACCCATATTACTTGAAGAAAGCATGACCAAGCAAAGTTTAAATAAGGTTGTGTCGTGAGCCACCAGAGGCTACCAGCAGTCAGGACTCTGTTTAGACTTATGTGGGGAAGAAGAACAGTTTCCCACACATTGTTACTCAGTTCAGCATTTTGCTTTCAGTATTAATGCTGTGCTTCAGCTCTGCTGTGCAAGAAAGGTGGGGAGGATATGATCCCTCTCAGAGGGTTAACCTCTGAGCAGCAGTTTAAAAAGACAGAAACAAAATCCCCATTGTCTACTATTATGAAGAAAAACAAGCCAAATTCTTGAGTAGACACCTTGATAAAACAAAAGGAACTAAGAAACTGCAGTACAAGATATTATTAAATACTTTGAGGCAGAGCTGCAAAAAACATTATCAGATTTCCCCTGCATTTTCAGTTACTACTTAGTTTCATTATACAGTTTCTTATTCAGATTCAGTGAATGCTGCACTTAGTTTCACAGTATTTTCCCTCAAAATTCTGGCAGTGCAAGCTGATGAGTACGACATAGTATCACTCACAACATTAACTCCCTCTGCTGGTAGGGAACTTGGTCTATCGATTTAAGAAGTTAAAATTAAGCTCAGTATCCTCTCAGAAATCTACACTTCTATTTTCACTCTAAAATCCATGACAATAGAAACAGTTGCTGGACAGATAAAAACTTGTCCTTTGTATTCTTGTTTAAATAGCAACTATACATTTTATATTAATTATGAAACAAACAACATCTCTACTACCTGGAAATAGTCTCTCATGGCTACTCAATCCTCACAAAATTTCTTCATACAGTACCTTAACAGCAAGTAATTTCTTTGTTAATAAATATTGTTTACAAACAGAATTATGTTATCCAGAAGTGAGATAAACATTAAAAGATGACTAACCACTAAGTAAACAGTGTCCCTAAGTATTGTTTACATTCTATTACTTATTCTGTTAAATTTCTTTTTCTAACTCCTCCCTCATATTTATAATTTTTGAGCTCTTAAATATTGTTAACCATTCTCAAGACTGTATATATATATACAATTAAAATTATTTTTTGTTCATATGAAGTGGTATTCCATAGGAAAGTATCTGGAAAATACAGATATCTTTCAGCTGATGCAATCAACTGTATTTTTAGCTTCTCTGAATGTATGTAATTTTGCTTCAGAAAGCAAAACATTAGGTACCTTCATGTAACCACCCAGGATACTAAAGAAAACTGAATTCCACCGTACAGCTTCTTATGCTAGAATCATAGGTTATAACAGATTATTACACCAACATATGCTGACACCATGTATATTCTTCATTCTCAGAAAAGCCTGTAATATTAAATATTAAGAATACATGTAACATCCTATTATTTCGATAGGGACATAGATAAAAAAAAGCACTGATAATTTAGCTATGCAGCTGGAAAACTGGAAAGCTTCTTTAAGAAAAACTCTTACATCAGTGCAATTCATTTGCAGTTAAGTGACATTTTAACCATTTGTTAAGGGGATAAAAACAGTATTGATCAAGTCCTAGTGTTTTCAGTTCTACACAGATTTAGGCATCAGCTGCAAAAATCAAGCGACACCAAGCCATGTAACCCAAGTACATACCTGATGTGAAGAGGCTCTGTGGTTCTGGTGCTGTAGGCCAGTCATTTGAAGTTTGTGGAGAGCTGGGGAATGGAGGAAGCCCACTAGGGATGGGGTTAGGGTGTCGAAAGTTGTCAGAGAAGAGTGACTGTGATTCTGTTACAGCCCCTTCAAAAGGAGACCGTGCACTGTGATTAGATGAACTGATGGGTATGACTGGATTGGGTTTTGTTAAACCAGGCGGTGGTGAAGGTGTGTCACTGTTTGTTATCTGTATGCAAAAGAAGAACAGAAACAATTAGGATGTGAGTCTTTATATATGAAACATTCTTCACTAAGACAGTTGAAAACTTTCCTCAAAACTTTTGGCTGCAATTAAAGTACAAGGTCAAACAAAAATAAACAGTAGCATTTTTTAGTTTTGTTAAAAAATATTATACATTTCAGAAAATACTTGCTTTTCCAACTACAAGTTGCACTAAGCCCTCAAACTCAATTCTTACTTTCAAAGCATTTATCTTTATGTCTTACCTGCTGGGAGCTGTCACCATTTCCTATACTGATGGAATCTGAAGGTTTGTCAATAGGGCTGCAAAACCAGGAAGGGAAAAGAAACAATAAGAGACTCAAATATTTAATGTAAAAATCAACATTTGATTCTGACTGGTACAAAGGCCTTGAAATAAAGGCAAAGTGAAATTAATTAGGAGGAATTAAGATGGGAAAAAGTCCACTTATATTTATGACAGGCTTTTTTTAATCATAAGCATTCCAATACTTTGCTGTATACTGTAATAATTCTTCCCACCACTCTCCACTCTGCTTCTTGACTGTCCTGTTAAGCAACAAAAGGAAAGTTTTAAACATGTTCATGGTAAACTCTATGCCATTAAAAATAGGACTCTTGTATTATGGCAGTATTCTGCAGTAGTCAGTTCCATCTATGCTACTACTGGAGAGAAGCTTGGGAACAGATCTGTTTTCCAAATAACTAAGTTGTCAGCTCCCATAGAAGTCCTAAATAAATCTGGGGAGAGATAAAATATTAAATTTACTATTTAGTCTTGGTGGCAATTTAAGCCTCCCACCAGTCTTCAAGCTTTAACTCGCAGAAAGTAGTTCCAAGGTAAGAAAACTGAGTTTCAAGATGACAGAAGGGGGAAAACGCAGGCAAAGACATAGCATAAAAGACATGGCACATTTCAGGACTCAAGATTCTGACAGGCATCTGTAAATAGCCTTAATTACGATAGGTACCACACTAGTGAAACAGTATTAGTTCAAGTTCATATGAAAATCTCTGCTTTACAACTTCAAGGTACTTTCATTTTTATCTACCCATAAAAGATGATGCACAAGCACCAGGCTGAACAATCCAAATCAGTCCTACAGAAAAGGACCAGAAGAAAATTAATTTCAGTTCCATTAGGAGGCCAAGATGAGATGCAAGTCAAATTACAGGCACAATGTGTTAGCACAAGACAAATACAGATACAGTAACTATTTTAACTGGGTGCAGACTTCAGATTCTACCTAGACCTTGTTTTCAAACATCTCTTGCTGCTGCAAAGTTGAAGCATGGCACAGAGCCACACATCAAGGTAAAAAATTCCTAGGACTGTTTCCCCCCATATTTGTTTTCCCCATCCCAAAAGACTGGAGACTCAGCAGAATTAATTCTCCATTCTAAAGAAACTATGTAAGAGTAATCTGTCAATAAAAACAATTTTTGTGCAATGGAACAATGATTGAGTCAGTGTCTCAAAAAAATAACTGAAGCTAAAGTATTCATGACTATAAAAGAAAAATCAGAGGAACACACTTGCAAACAAGCATTACTCTGGTGAAGATTTACAAATACTTTAAACTCAGTAGTCAAAGAGCATGAATGAAGTTTTTCCATTTGGAACATACTTCCTTGGGTTAGTAATTTCTGAATAACTATAGCAAAAAAGTTTGCTGTAGACTTCTGACTACACAATCATTCTAACTATAGAGCTGATATTCCAGCCAAATTCTTTTCCAAAAGCTGCTGACAGAAGGCCACCATGCTGCAGTTTAAAAAGCTATGTATAAGACAGATTTTAATGACCATCTAAGTGCTGAAAATGTTTATTACATTTGAACCTGCCTAAGGAGCCTTTAATTGTAAGACAGGCTTCTAACTCTCAAGAATTAATAACATTCCTTCTATATTGGCTACAATATTCTTACCTACATTTAATACACCTTTTTCAGAAAAGACAAGAAGGAAGCTCCATGTCACCTCAGATGTAACCATAGGATCATACCTCAATGAAACTATTACACCTAACAAAAAGGTATGACTTCGAACAGCACTCACAATGTTGATGCATCAGTTCAGTATTGATTTAAAACCAAGATAAGCTATCTAACTGGTAAAACCACTTCTTGAAAGATTAGGGTTTATCTTGTTAATTTTCCATCCAACCTGTGAATAAACCCAACTGACATTACCTAAAGGGGTCCATAGAAAACAAACCAGCATGACTACACACCACCACCAGAACTGCAAGTGATGCTTATGATGGAAAAGGACACCAGTTCAATTCAAGGAGGGCACCAAAAGAAGAAAAAAAAGTGTTGGTTAGCAATAAGGAAGTTATTGCAAGCAGATGAACTACCTCCTCTGCACAAGGAAGTCTCAGTTGAATCTGCTGGCCTGTTGTTCCTGTTCCTGAGTGATAATCAGGGTATTCTTACCTCTGCGGTTGTGTTTCTGTAACACAACTGGAACACAAGAAGATGACAGATATTCGGTCCTAGTATTTAGCTTCCTTCTATTGAAGCTTTTCCAAGTGACAAGCCTCCTAATGTATAGCAACTAGCATGTTACTTCTGTGGAAGCTTCTGAATAGAAATTAAGAGCTCAGATCCGGCTAGGACCATGCAGCTATATAAGCTGTTGATCCCCTGGTCATTCGGTTCCCCTCAGCTCTTACCTGTACCATTGCTTACTAACTTCTTTTTAGTGTTCTCCTGCACAATGTGCCAATCAGACTAGCTTGGTTAGGCTAAGTCAAACTTTTTGTGACCTGATCAGGATTTGAATCCAGCTCTCCAACCAGAGAGACTGGAGAATCATTCCCTCCACATCAATCAGTGAGAGAGAAAGCAAGCTATCTGAAGTATAAAAGGCAGCACAATTACCCGAAATCTGAGTCTGCACCATCTGGAGTCATGTGTTCTGGGTCTGTGCCATTTTCTAATATAGGAGGCGTTTTCCTGTGTTCCATTGTTAAACCGTTGGCTGATTTACTTGAACTCTGTAATGATGGCCAGGCATCTTTGTTATTACTGTTGGGTCTGGAAAAAGGCAAGAGTAAAGAAAAAAAAAAAAAAAAAAAAAAAAAAAAAAGAGTTCAAGTTATGAAGAAAGTGTTTTTAAAAACTGTAAGTACTGGGGAAATTAATCCTTGTGCCAGACAATCCATACAAATAGATTTATCTGGATATTATTTCTCAGACTTTAAATGGTGATGACTTAAAAAAAATAGTGGGGATGGAAGGGAGAGAGAAAACTGGGGGGGAATTCAGTTTTCTTCACTGGATAGCTGCTCTGCTAATGCTGAAGCCCAAATTTGTCCATTTGGGGGAATGGAAAAAAATTAAAAGAAACAAAAATATACTGACAGCTTCAAGTATCCAGACCTACACACATCTTATTTAGAATTATTTGCTTTATCCCACAAATATTTTTAAGTTCTGTGAATTACAAATGAAATAACTTTTTAAAAAATGTTTTATATTCCAGACCCTATCAAGCCTGATCCCAACAGATGAAGCTTGTGTTTCACACCTACACAAGAGTCCACAGTTTTACCAACAGACCCTGAGACCAGCCAGGCCAACACACTGTTCATTCATGTTATTGCTCCCTTCATTTCTAGTCTAAAGCCCCAATTGTTTCCCTTTTTGAAGTAACATTACATTTAATTTCAGAGTGCACATGAGATCTGAAAAAAGTTAAGGAGAGGACTCAAAGCCCAAGTTTTTGCTGAAAGTAAACTGAAGCAAGCTGAAATACCTATAACTGAATGCACTGAAATACAGTGTCATCTCCTAACCCTACACTCCTACTATAAAAGATCTGCCTTTGTTTTCTCCAATTCCTTTACATGAACTTTAGCTTTTTATTTGCTTTATTTAGGATGCTGGTTTTAGTGTTCAAGTGCTGTCTTTTTTTAATGCTTATTTCCTATGAATTTTTAAAAATAGGTATGTTCTTCCCAATGCCCCCTTTCATTAATATGTTCTTATTACAGGGTCCAACATTTACTCTGTATCTCTTGGTCAATTAAGCACATTCAGCCTTAACCTGATACACAGATCTGATCTTTGCTTTATACATATTTGAAAGACAGCAAGTTGATCAGATACTGAACATCAAGGAATGAACGCACATCAGCAGCAGCACACTAACAGTCACTTAATAAGCTGCAATCTAGATATAACAAAGCTTTCGATCATTAGCACATTTTTTTAAATATAAAAATTTTTGTCTGCTGCAGTGCAAAGCCATCTCTACATTAAAACTAAATTGAAATTGTCACAGTTAAAAGTTTTGCACTCAAGGAGAGAGTTTAAGAGGAACTTTTAGGCTTTGGGGGTGGGTTTTTGTGCACGTGGGGTTTTTTTTTGTTTTGGTTAAATTCAGAGCTGCACGCTTCTAAAGGTCTATCCTCTAAAAGACCTGCAAGTGCTTAACAAGTGTTTCCACTTGTAGCATAGGAAAGCATTCATTTCAGTTCTTTAGAATGTCAGTGGCAGGGGGAATTGCTTGATCTGTTTTGAATGTGGAATATACCTCTAATTGTAAGTGAATGCAGTCACCATGGCAAGCTGTCAAGTGACATACCAAGAGATGACTACCCTCATACACAAAGTGGCACTGGGAGATTTTAACATTTGCATTCAGCAGCAAGAAAAAAGGTCTGCAAGTTGGCCCTTTCAAAATCCAACACAATTGTGAAAGAGCATTTATGCTCACTTTAAGAAACTGTTTTCTACTACTAGATATTTATAATTAAACATTTACTATTTAGAACTCAACTTCTGTTCAGTTCCAGAGTGAAACAGAAATCCTGCACCCTAGAAACACAAGAACAACCACAAAATCGTCAGAGGGTCTGACAAACTGCCAGAAATATTAATATAGTATCAACGAATGAGACAAAAACAAGAACCCATGTGGGTAGAAAGCTGTGAAGGAGAACAACATGCATTCAACAGCACACAAGCTACATCTTGTACTGATGAGACAGGACTTGAAGAAACATTTTAAAATCTCAGCTGCAAGAAGAAATTAACTTTGCAACCCAAAAGATGGTGCCTAGCCATCCATTATCAAAGAACAGACTCTCTGTTGTGAAAATGTTCAGCTGACAAGAGAAATTAACTCCAGAACACTTGTTGCCTTTAGAGTAACATGCCATTTTTTCCACAAGTGCCAAAATGTTAGCACCACAGACTGGCCAAGGTCCAATTCATAATTGCTTTTTGAAGGCTTAAAAGTTTGCTGCAGTTCCAGATAGAGCATTCTTCCTCACTGGTTTCATTTGTTTTGCTGGGATATAATTAGGTTTCAAAGTAAGATTAGGTGAAACTTTTAACAGAAAATAATCAATACTCAATTGCAGGAAGCAGTGTATTTACTTTACTCGCTTACCTTCCAAGTCAATATGGAACCACTGCCCAAGAAATAAGTGGCACAGTCCTTAAGAAAAGATCCAACTGGATACAGTCAAAGAGCATATGACACTTCCCTCAGAAGTTAAAAGAAAATAATGCCAGCACACCAGCTGGAATATCAGTTCTCAGAATTAAATTCTGCTTATTCAAGATCTGTTGGCAATATTTTAGCTATAGTATCCACTTTTTTGCTTAAACTGCTGTGCAGCGATGCTGCCAGTGCTGAATTATTGTCTGAAATATTCAGTAGTGGATAAACTGGTGCACAACGCAAACCCTGATTACAAGGCCAAGGTTTGTATGAAGTGCAATCTAACATTTACATTCCACTCTGCCTATCTCATTATGAAGATCCTATAAAAAAAGGAGTGGAGGAAGCTGCTAACAGTTTTTATTTCTTAAATGTGACATTTGAGTGGATAATTCACGTAAGGACTGTTGACCTTAGGCTTTCATTTATCTTTGTGTGACTATGTACTCACATGGACAGAAACCTTTTCATAACTTACCGAGCAAACTACTTCAACAAAATACTATTTTAACAAGCAATAACAAATGATATCTACAACATAGTGAAAAAAAACAACATTTAATTTTACTAGATGAAGCCAAGAAGTCTTTTATTCACATCTTGTAAACTCTTATTCACACAAAGGAAACTGATTTTGCTTTCAATTCTCAAGGTCCGTATACTTAAGGTAAGGACTGCCCTATAAATCATGATGTAAAACACACAATAAAAAAACCATGTCAAGACTATAACTTGCCTTAGTTGTAAGATACAGACTGCATTCATCATGACACCATACCAAGAAAGCTGACACCTGGTCTTTAATAAATATTGTTTATGCAAACAGAAAATACAAGATCTTGTTTTGGAATAACTCATTCTGAACTAGTGATCCAAATACTCACAGCAGAAAACCATTTATTTACTAAATATGACTCCCATTCTCTTTGTATTAGAACAAAGTTGTGCATATGTCTCTGCATGAATAACTGCTATCAGATGTTATCATATTATAGCTACTGAAAAGAGCAGGTAACTTAGGGATGCGATAGGAATAAGAAAGTTTTCTTTGGGAGTAACCAGGAAGAAAGCATAGCCAGGCAGTCCAGAATCAGTACTTACACATCATACCTCTGCAGTGCTGTCACTTTGTTCTTGTTCTTGTCAACTGTACCCGTAGATAACTGGAGAAAGTTGGGGTTTAGTTTGTATAATTCTTGCAGTAGTTTCTGTTCATATTCCTGGTGCTTACCCGCCTAAGGAAAGACAAACTCAGAATGAGCAAACACTGGCTTAATATATTATATATACACAAAAAATATTTGTTATATAAAAATGTACATATGTACCTCCCAAAGCTTAGTAATTGAGCTTTAACAATTTAACAGGTCACTCCTGACTGAAATGCAAACCAGTGTTTCTCAGTTTCAGCACAGACACGATCTCAACAAATCTAGAGCTTGCCTAGAAAGCATCTGGATGTATTTACCAATTCATATTTTTTTAAACTTCTAAAGCAGAAAAATAGTCACAACCTTATTAGAACTTGCTTTTCAGTTCAAATTGAGAGCTTCTCAATATATCTTAAGATAAGTCTCAGAGGCAACCTGCATTTGATACAGCCATACTAAGCTGTTCAGAAGACAAGGAGAAGAGTCTCTCTTAAACCAAAAGTTCCAAAATGTATGTAATTTTATATTGGCTTAATAAAAACAGCTGAGGTGGTCTGAGTGTTACCTGTCATGTGATGAACTAATCAAATTAATTGAGAACAATTTCTTGCTTTGAGGGACTGATGAGGCTCAATCCAACTCCAGATATTGAATCTGGTGAGTGAAGAGTATTCTTCAGCCTAGCTTACCTGTAACATTCTGTGGCTAAGTATTTAACACAAAACCAGAAGGATCCACCGCCCAACCATTTAAATTGATATCTCAAAAAAAAAAAAAAAAAAGGCAAGGCAAGCCTTCCAATTTTTTGTAGGTTGTTATACTCCTCCAAGCTAAGAATTACTATTTGCAAGTTAAGTGTCCTAATGAATTGGATCAAAATGCAAAATGGAACAGTAAAGTAGTCAATAGCTTTTATCTAGTTACCAGATACTAAGAGATCTGCGCTGCAAACATTAAGCAGCTGAGTAAGAATAAACCCCCCAGGATGTTTTTCATTTCGCTAAAGACTTCAGTGCCAAAAATCTGAACAACATGGCCAGGAACATCAGGCCATCCTAAGCTCACTTACCTATCACATAAATGGCGTGGGTTGGAAGGGACCTTAAAGATCCTCTAAGTTCCAAACGTCCTGCATGGCAGGAAAACCTCTCACCATACCAGGTTGCTCAAAGCCTTTCCAACCCAGCCTTGAAGACTTCCTGGGAGGAGGCATGTATAATTCCCACCTTCACTTTCAGACACTTCCTGGAGTTCTACCAGTTCTTTTCAGTTTGTCACAGTGATTAGCAATATTGACAATTGTTTAACCTAGACTGCAAGTTCATCTCCTAACATTTTTTTCAAATAGAGAACTAAAGTCTGTGACAATGAGTATTCAGCTGTGTTACAAGGACCTGTACATTTATATACACTAACCCAGAAAGCTGGTGCACTGAAAGCACACTGCACTTTTCAATAGTTGTGTAACTTCCAACTATTTCCAAGAAAGCAATATGGAACAGAGAAGAAAGTTTAAGGAATGTAACGAGGAATAGGAAAGGAAGATTCATTTAAGTCACCAAGATCAAGTATAATTCACTCAAGACTTCTGAAAGTACTCTTACGTGAAACTGAATTCCTGGCCAAGGTATTTTATCAATTTTAACAGGTAGTTACGCCAAAGGACCAACAGATTGCCATGGCCTTCTACAAAAAGGGCTGTAGAAAAGATCCTGTGAATGACAAGACTGCTAAATTCAACCTCCATCCTTCCTAAGATGATAAAGTCTGTCTTAAAAAGAAATTTTAAAAAAGATAGATGTTCATGGATAAAAACAATCTGCTGAGAATGAATCTGAACACCTTCTGTAAAGAATCTGAACTACTTCTGTAAAGAGGGACCCTACTTCACTAACATGATGGAATTCTATGGATATCATCAATAAGCACACAGAGAATCCCCAACATTTTAAAAAAGCCTCAGATAGAGCTTCACACCAGAAGTTACTGCAAAAAATGTTCTGGGATAGAGGAAATGTTCTTGTGTGGATTGAAGCTGGTTCAAAAATAGAAAGGTAAACAGTAGGAATTACTCCCACTCTTTTAGGGTGCAGAAACAAAAAATGAGGACTGATGACTGGCATCAGTTTTATGCAACACTATTGGCATGCACCAGAAGAGAGGGAAAAGCAAGTTATTTGCTGACAAAACCAAGTTCTTTAAGTAGAAAACTGCCATACTGATAAGGAACTCCAAAAGAACCCCAGAGAACTTGGCAAACTGGTGGCAAGTCAGTTTCATCAGAGATATGTCAGGTAACACACACCAAGGGAAAAATAGCTTAAACCATACAAATGTTCCACTGATCTGTGAACTGGCAGTTACAGCTCAAAGAAGAGATACTGAGGTTACTGCCAACTGAAGTTGTTAGATGATTATGCATTGGCAACCAAACAAAAAATGTGCTGGGCATCATTAGGAAGGGTACTTAAAAAAACAAAACACAAACATAAAAACCTCCACACACCACACTGCACAGAAAACACCAAGGACTGCTGCATTAAACTTTGCTTCTCTCACATCATGAGTATGATGCGCCTGACCTCTGCACACCAAGGAGGACACAGCTAGAAGGTACAGAGAAGTGCAATATAAATTATCACAGAAAGGGAGGAACTGCTTTACAAAGAAGTTTAAAAGTCCAGGAACTGTCTGATTTAGAAAGAAGGCTGAAAGAGGTGAGATAAAGTTTTACAGTCTCAAAGTTGAATAAGGGTTTTGTTTTTAGCAAGTACTACAATGCTAAGATTAGGGGACACTTAACAAAACTAACTGCAGACCACTATAACAAAGGCAAAAGAAAGCACTTTACAAAACAACTTGTGGATTTCTGGGGCCACAAAAGACAATAGTGTTGACAAGCAGGTTTGAAACGGACTAAACAAACCCATGACTGACAGCTATATAAAAAAAACACACCTAAAAAGCCTAGGTAGGAACATACCCTCAAATATGTATAACATAACAGATCTAGGTGGTGGGAGAAATACAAGGAAACGAACATGGAAGGTGGCCTTGTTTGCAGGTTTTCCTTGAATTACTGGCTAAGAATTGATCTCCATCTTTTTGACTCAGGAACACTCAAGGGACTTCTCAATCTTCAAAAGCAAGTTATTTTTTTTTTCATTGCATTTTCTAACTGTTAATTTCCAATATCAAATCGATTAATCACCTTTTTATTTCAAAATTCATCTCTGCCCTAAGTTTCAGCAAAAGGCTATTACACACATATTAGACTAAATTATATACACTAAAATACACACATGCCACATTTCATGTGATCCCCATTTATGACACTTACCTGCATTTCCTCTTTTGTGAAACTGGCCGCTTCATCCCCCAGTTCATGTAGATACATGCAGTCTGGTTTTGGACACTGCATATTTTTTAGAAAATAACTGCAATATTTTGTTGTACCTAATGATGCCTGAAAAAAAAAAAATCATTACTGAAGTACTGGAGGCCAAGAGCACTTTTTACAGTAAAAGAAAATAGCTATATGTGCAAAAAAAACCCCCCAAAATTCCTTCCTATGGCTTGGAGTTCCACCATAATGCATTTTTTCATGCACATGGACTAGGAAGTCCAATTTGTAAGAAATCTATATACTCGAGGATTAGAAAATTAGGATGCATTTCTATTTTCCTCAATCTAAACAAACGCCAAAATAAGAGCCTCAGTAAATATTTGCATTTGTAGTCGTAAGAAGCCAAATAAGTAGTTATGAATTTGTATTACATGAAAATGGCTAATGTTTTGTAGCAAGGTCAGGACATCAATATTAACTAGATGATTTTGCATAGCCACCAATTTGGCCTAGTCAGCCTGAATACCCATTTACACAAACAGGAAAAGGAAAAAACTTGCACTTTCCAGGGAATTTGAGAGATGTGGCATTTGGACTGAAGAAATGCTCCACAAAAGCAGTCAGGTTTTCACACTTTGCTATTAAGCTATACAGCAAAAAAAGACACTGTAGGAAAGTGGGAGGTGGTGGTGCATCTCCTACTTTCATCTCAAGCTTCTTTTTTCACAAGTTACCTGCTAATCCCCTAAAACCTTGCCTGCTGAAAGCTCTCTGAACTTCCATGTCATGATTAATGCCAGGAAGAGAGGTCAAAACCCAATAAACTGGGGATTTTTGTTCATCAACACAAACATATCCATAAAAATAAAATTTTATACAAGGACCAATATTAGTGTCCTAGCACAAATACATAAGAACATAAAAATATTACCACCTTAAGTGTTCTGCCATCTACCACCACATTGTTGACGCACTGTATGGCTCTGAGAGCGTCTTCTGACCGGATGTAAGTTACATATGCACTGGCACTTGGACCCTAGAAAGAAACCAACATTTTTCAAGTTCTACCCACCAGGCAGACCTGAACATTAAGTTGCTTTTTCAGCAGTTCATTTCATAAACTAGCACATTCATGACTAGATGTTTTCTGCAAGAAAACAGACAAAAATAGTGCAATTCATACAGATTTAGATGTGATGCATAAAGAGTGGGGAAAAGAAATGCATCAAAATGTTGCTTGAAAAATACTTAAGGTATTTTATCCCTGAAATGTAGATTAGTGAATAAATGCCATATTGCTGCTTCTTTGAAGGTACTCACACTGACTCCCAGTTTTGAATATTTTTACACTGCATCTTACATCCAACTTTGAGGCCTGATTGGACAAAGCCTCAGTTACCTAATGGCAGTTTGATTTTTACAACACTTTTTTTATCTTTTAACTTTTTTAATCTATTGCTTCATCAGAAATAGGAAACCCCATATTCACTCTGCACATATTTCTTATCTCTAAGGGAATTTAAAAATCACAAAGGCCTCTGACTTACCTGTGAGCCTGCATATGATGTACTGTTATTAATAACAACTTTATGTATTTTACCAAACTTCCCAAAATATTCTGGTCGTTTCAAAACCTACAAGAAAAAGAGAGTGGTATACTGGAAGGTTAAGTCATATAGGTCTGTACTTACTATTGTTTAACTAAGCAACTAAACCTTTAATAAAAAAACGTGTCTCTTCTACAGAGAGGAGGAGAGCATGTAGATGTAGATTATTTCAGTTATTTGCAATACAAAGTATGTTGCTACTGCAGTAAAGAACTTAAATGAGAGATATTCCACACTTTATGCTTTATTTTTCAAATTTCTTTCAGTATTCAGATTACCCAAACCCTACACAGGCAAGATACATCTCAGTCAGCATGAAATATCCCAATATGTGTCTATTTAACAGTTTGTGGAAAAAATTAAAATCACATTTATTGCAGTTTTAAAAGAAGTAACTGTCTTAAACTTGCATTCAGACATATTAACTGCTAGGAGCAAAACACTGAATCCTGACTCACTTGCCTCAGTGCAAAGAGAAAGAATAAACCAATTAGCTTGAGAGGCTTAAGTTTTCAGAAGACCAGACTAAGTACAAGGAGACAATATCTGACACTTCCTAGGGGCAAGAAAACATTTCAGCATCAACTTCATGCTGAAATGAATGAGTATCACAACTCTAAAGAAAAACAACCTCCAAACCATTCCTGTCTTGCCCTTCCTTGCATCAGTTAGTAATAACATACAATTTAGGGATCCTGTACAGAGCAGGAACATCTCTAGTACACTGAGCAACTCTGCCGAGTAACGGTTACCTGTGTGCCAATGGAACTGGCAATATATCTGACACATTTGGTACCAAAAGCCTTTCTCTTCCTATCTCTGAGACAGAAGGTGCCGAAGTACTGACCACTCAAACTGAAGCTAGATCACAGACTCCTAGAACGGTTTTGATGGGAAGGCACTTTAAAGGTCATTTAAGTTCTAACCCCCGTGCATGGGCAGGGACACCTCTCACTAGAGCAGGATGCTCAAAGCCTCATGCAACATGTCCTGGAACACTTCCAGGGAGGGGGCACCCACAACTTCCCTGGGCAACCTGTGTCAGTGTCTCACCACCCTCACAGGACAGGATTTCTTCCTAATATCTAGCCTAAGTCTACCCTTAAGACCGCTATCCCCTGTCCTATCACCACATGCCCTTTTAAAAAGTCATTCCCCAGCCTTCCTTTAGCACCTGGAAGACTGCTATGACGTCTCCCCAGAGCCTTCTCTTCTCCAGGCTGAATAACCCCAACTCTCTCAGCCTGTCTTCATAGCAGAGGCTAAGGATATTTCTAGCTCTAGACAATAATCTGAGACTTTAAAAAGGTAGATTTCCCCAGCTCCACCTTCATATTAAAAATGCATAGTACTGTTTAACCATACTGATCCAAGCGCTTCTTTACCTAGCTATCTCCTCCACCTTCTCAAGGCAACACCAATGTCTTCAAGATCTAACAGCATTAATCACATTTGGAACATCCTATAGAACCACAGGGCATGCTGTAGAGACAACCAGTCACCCCCTCATTTCTTCTGACTGCTCTTCATTTAATCAATACCCTTTTGAAAGATCCTACACCCATCCTTCTCAGGCATCATTCCAGAGGAAAATGAAAATCCTGAGTAAAAAAAAAATAATTTATTCAAGTGTCTTGTAGATTATCCTAGATTATCCTTCTAATAGGGCAGCATGGCCTTCACAATTTTCCCATGAGCATGTTAACAGAAGTGGATCCACCTGTATTCCATTATGATCTACAGATCTATTTCCAGAATCAGAAAATAGCAGCCAATCTGCCCTTCCAAATCATTTTTATTTTGCAGGAGGTTTTTGCCTGCTTAAGTGGAAAACTTGAGTATATTGAATACTCTTTTTGCCAATCTCTTTCTTTCAGAATAGGTTTCTTGGAAATCAAGTAATTTTGGTGCTATATGCCATATTGAGTAAATACAGATTATCTCCTGGCATGACAGTGAGAATACAGTTACCAACAAACCTTGTAAAATCCCCCCACCCTACACAAATAAATCCACTTCTAATTACTTTAAGTATTTTGTGTGGAATTATCTGAGGTTTAAAAGAAGTTAATTATATATACACTATTCTCTTACTCAAATCCTGGCTCTGGTCAAAAAAAAAAAAAAAATTACTACACTTTTCAGTAATAAATAGCACCAAGCCAGTGTTGGCAGCTGCTTGCAAATACTTGTTGCTACATTCTTATAGAAACTGAAGCGTTAAATGGTATATCACTTTAACTTTGACTTTTCCCCTCATCTCTCTTGTGCTTCCTCTCCACTAAATGCAGCTTTTTGTATTTCATCTTTCCCAGTCTACCAAAATGCAGCCCATAATCTGCAAGTCCTCAGAAAGAGCCAGAAACAGACACTTCTATTTGATCTTTCTCCAGACAATTCAGTCCAATCAGGCGAGTTTAACTTAGTACAGTATTTTTGAAGACATCTATCTTATCCTGTAGTACATTCCCCCCATACTCTAATTCAAGGTACTTTTACTCATTAGAACTAATTCCATTAGGCCCCTGAAGATGACTAATGACGGAAGTAACAAAAACATCTTGAACATTTTGTCAAATGAAAGGCTTCTTTTTGATGATGCAGAGTAGCAAGCCAACTCTCTCCTGGGTCTTCCTCTTACTAAATTTTTTCCCCTCAACTGTCATCAGCCTTATGCTCCCCTTCCTAGTAACACTTCAAGCACTGGCTTTTTATTTCTGTCTCAACAGGTTTTTGCTACACTTTATCATTGTTCTTTATAATGCAACCAAACCCCCATTTTAGAATTGGTAGTACATGACACAGCTATATAATGCTAGCAAATCCTGTCTAGGAAAATAAGTGCCTAAAAAAATTCCTTAAGCTTATTTTTAGCTTAACAAGAAGTCATTTTTAAACAAAAAAAAAAAAAGCCAGAGCATTTGTACTCCCCAAAGCAAAGACACAAATACTTATTGAGGTTATTTTGGAGGAGGAAGCTGAGTAGTCAGTCTCCTTTTAGAAGACAGGACCTCAGTGGCAGTGAACCTTTTCAATGCTGCTTCATTTTGTACCCACCACAGAGACAGTCACAGGTGGGCACAAGGGTATTCCAATGGTTCCCTGACACTAAGTTAAGAGCAAGATGTGCAAGTGTGAACTACTCACCTCTGGATCTGCTAGACGCTGAGATAGTCCTACCACAAACACAAGGTTCTTCTGTACAACCCGTACACTGGCCAAATGTTTGCGATTCTCTGATATCTTCTGTTTCCTCTCGTTTTGTTTCTGTTTCTTTTCATTTTTTATCCTTTGCAGCTCTTCCTGGGAGAGTGGTTTGTACACTGCTGGATCTTCTGGATATGGCTAAATGTAACAAATATCATCAAAACCAACCCATATAAGAAAACACATTTGAAAATAACTTCTCCTGATGTTTTAACACACAAATTTCCTTCTTCTCTTACGCTGCTCTGATTGCTATGGCCAGTCACGTTATAGAAGTAGAATAAGCTTTCCTTTAGGAAAAGTGAACATGTTGCATATTTTCATGGAATTCTCCTATTTATAGACATCATACTGATTTGGGCAACAACCACATTCTAACCCAGCTGCCTAGTCAGTTTAGTAACACTAATAGCAGCTGCAACATGACAGCCAACACATCCTGTTAAGATGTCACCAACATAGCTTAGTAAGCAGGGTGAGAGCATGCCCTGCATATTCACTTTATATTTAGTTGCCTGACACAGATTTGGATGCTTCCGTGTACTAATAAAGTAAAGACTACAGCTCACATGTAATTTCAGTGGTCCACAAGTTCCAGAGAGCAATACCATTACACAGCTCAATTTTTACATGGTTAACTTCTTCTAACGAAGAGACAGATTTCAATACAGCTAATGCAAACTGATTTAATAGTACTCTTGCCATGTCTGTGTATCAGTTTGAAACTTGGGTTTTGTCTTTCCTGGACAAAGGTACATTTTTAACCTCAAGATTATCATCTACAGATTACTCTTCAAACACAGACATAACACCGTAGATTTTAATCTTCAAGGTGTCTAGCAGAAGTACAAGTGTCCTCAGAGTTACCTAGAAAGATTGCTCTATTCATGCAGTACACGGCTATAAAAGCAGTATTTTAGCCTGGTCTTGTAGAGTAAAAGGCACTGTCCTCTGCCCTGAATTACTTCTCAAAGCAATTCCTTATTCCTTACCTGTCCCAGTTTTCTGAAGACTGAAAAATTAGATTTCACACTTTATATACAAAGCAATGCTAAGCACGGAAGTATATAAAAATGTATCTCAAACAAGTGTGTCTAAACACTGAGATCAAGTAAAAAAATGAGACTAGTACAGCAAATGTGCATTAAAGACTTCAGGTAAAGAAAATGAACAATATGTTTAATTAAGTTCTTTGCTTGTACTACCATAACCAAAGGTTTCAGGGTACAACACAAGAAAAATTAACTTTTTCCTTACTATCCTCTGTTAATGGCAGAATACAAAACTAGCTGTCATACTACAAGACTTGAGAAAAATCTTCTATGCCAGGTGAAAATACAATTTAAGTTTACATTAAAAGCATGTACTTCTCACACTTGCATGATACGACTGAAAGAGCCACTAAGTGCTTAGACCTGACAGTTTTCTGAGTACATCTAAAAACAAGACCTGTTCCACAGTTTTGAGAATTTAAAGTTCAGCATAATTATGCTATATTCAAGACATCTTCTGAAAATATGCTACTGTCAACTTCAGCAGATGACATCTCACTGTTATACACCAAGTCCTCTGGAACATGTTTTTAGTATCACAAAGGAATTTTAAACTTGTAAGATACTTTAGCAGTAGCTAAAGGTACACAGCCAAGTCCTCAACATGAAAACTTAGTAAAGACTAATGTTACTCTTGAAGAAGAGTTTAAGAACGTACGATTTGTTAGAAGTTATGTTATTCACAAGTAACAGATTTCATAACATACCTGATGAACAGCAATCATCTGTTAAGTAAGGTCATTTGGGATTAGCTATAGCCAATTATCTTATTTTAACACACGTACACAGAGTAACTTTGCTATTTCACTTAAAGAGCTTCTCCAAGTCTGTGTTAGTCAATCATGTATAATAAAGCACAGATATTGTTTTGTTTTGGGGAAGAAAAAGAATGCTTGACAAAGAGAAAGCTAATTTGGTTCTCAATCTCAAGCCGAGTTTGTATAGGAATGGGAAGAAAAGAAGTGCACCAGTATTGGTAGATACAGTTCCAAAAATAAAACGGCTTGCCCTACATCAAGTGATGTGGTACCATACCCACAATCCATCTTTTCACAGATTAACTCCTTTTGTACATCCCATACTATGTAAGGCAAAGTTTGCAAGTGTGCTGCTCTCTGGTACTGTGCAAGAAATGAACTCCTAGTTTTCAGGAGATTCAGTAAAGCTCCTGAACATCCAAGAAAACTAAAGCAAATAGTGCAGAAGTTCATCAGCTGCTTGGTTGCCAAGTATAGTCACATTCAGAGCATATTGACTAATGCGAAGCAAGTCAGAAAGTATATTCCTTCTCTGTACCACTATTTGCTACTAGAGGTCCTGAACATTAGTCAAGAAACATCCAAGGTAGCTCTAGCATAACCTGAGCAGAATGTTTATTTGTCCATAGCAAAATTACTAGTTTGTACAGGAGAGCACAAGAAGTACTGGGAACACACAATTAAAATGCAACTTGAGAATTGGGGAAGAGACATTTCTTCATGTCAGCATAAAGTGTGACATTGACTAAATAAGGATTTCAATCATTAAGAAGTAGCAGCAGTTCATTTGCCACCATGAATAACAGCACTTGTTTGAGCAATAGGATGATCAAAAGTTCTCACTAGACACTGTAGAGCTGTATTATATATGAAATGTTTCATATATATGTTCATCACTTTTACATGGTTAATGCTTCTAAGGAATACGAGTAGTGGAATATCCTGACTTGCAGGACCTGTAAATGAATCTGCATGCACCTCTTCAAACCTGAGAATCAACCAGAAACATAACACAAAGTGATAGATTATCTTCCTATCTATATATAGTGACATGACGATAGGTAAGAGATGGTGCATTTAAGGAGGGAGGAAGGAAAGTAAGCAGAGCACCAATATTTCAGATGCTAACTCTAAACAGAACAGTAAGGATTGGAAATTCTGTTCCTTTCAAGTAAGGACAAAGTCAGTATACAAATTGAGTAATTATTTCATCTTCAGAGTGATTTCTTCCCACAGTGTTAATGAACTCAGATGATAGCTCAACTACAGAAAGAAGACAAGCAGGGAAGGCTGGTGGAACATGGGTCAGAAACCCAAGGTGGATTGACTGTTGATGTATCTCACAGCACCATCTCATTGGTTGTTTACTCACTGTCCAATCCTACAAAACACAGGTAGGACCACAGGTACCCAAAGCTCTCAGGTCTTGCAACAGCTGAAGTGGCAATGCTGATGACATGACCACTAATAAGATACTTAATTGATTAATCTCCTATCACTGATTCCTTAGATGGTAGAGGATTTGAGATCCAAGCAAAGTAGCTACATTGTGTTATCTGCATTTATGTATTTGCAGATGCAAGACATTAAGAGATGTCAACATCGCTGATTAAATAAGTTTAGCCGAGACCCTCCATTTAAGTTATGCAAATGCTCTTCAGCAAAAACCATGGAAGCCACATGAACAAGATGTGCCAACATGGAAAGTGACCAGATTTTGTTTACACTAAGTGCAAGCTGCTGCAAGTCCTACAAGCACTTCATCAGAAGTTCAAATGTCTCTTCTGCAGTCTCGTGTCTTTCATTTGAGATGGTCCCTGATGAATTCTCAGTCTTCCTGACTAAATTTGTCTTGTCATTTAAGTTTTGTTTTCTTTCAGACTTTTTTCTCCCATGTTTTCCCAGTTGCTGAAAACTGAGCTGGGATTTATCAAGCACTTTGCTTTTGTCTTTCCCAGATGAGTCACAGTCCTTCCATACAACGGATGTACCAACATTTCTCAGTTGCTGCCTTCCTACCAAATAGGTCCTGAAATGAGAAATACAGAGGAAGTCAATAAGGTTTATGCATAGTATACACTATACTACTTATATAAAGAATTTTTTAAAAAGCCATTTCCTATGTAGTTCTAAATACCAATTGTTAACCAAACTACTTAGTTGTGGGATTAAAAGCACCAGAGGAAACAACATTCGGAGACTGCATTAAGACCAGGTGTTCCTTTTATGCAGAAGCCGAAGGAAGAGAACATGGACAAAAACATGGTTAAAACATGTTAGCTTCTTGATCATAAACGTAGCAGCTTACTGTTTCTCTCCATTTCTAAAACAAGGTGCTAGGAGGAATAAAGCTCACTAAGTCAAAGAACGGGAGAAGGTGGCAAAGCCACATCACAGGAACAGCCATATATCAAGTTATTATTTGGTGGAAGGGCAAAGCAATTAAGAAATGCAAAGGAGCTGGGTTTTTTTCTTGTTGGATTTAAAAATTGCAACAAATAGCACTATGGTCTAAGAGTGCTATGCTCCATTAAAACAACACAGGGAACTGGAACAGTACGAATTATCTATATGACAAAGAGCAGTTAAGCCACTCAATTTTGAAGAAAAGAAAATTGAAAAATCATTGCAAAGATAAAAATAACTGGCTTTACCAGCAAGACTGGTGACCTGTAAACCAGCTTTTGCCTACAGAAGTCCCTAGTGAGGATAGCATTTTTTCCATTCTGATTTGACTAGTTAGCAGCTATGTCAGTCACAGTTAAGAAATCCATTGACTGAAAAAAACAAGGCGGCTTGCTTTGCATCTTACAATTGATTACAACTACAGCTCTGAAGGGCATCAGGCACTCTAAGGAAGCCACCTCTATTTTTTTAAGGAAGTACTTTTTGTAGTTAATGAATTAAACAGAAAAAAAATGAGTTTATTTCAGAAGATTCAATGTTTAGAAAGCTTTTAATGTGTTAAGACTAAAAAGTACTAGTTTCCAACCAGCATTCAAAATAAATTCATACTAGTACCTTGCTTTCACAAATGAAAACAAAGGAAGTGTTCATCTACTAACAATAGGAGGAATCTTAGGACATATGAAATGAACTGACTGCAACCGCATTAACATATTCTGCACATATCAAGCTATATAACAGCTTGAGCATGTAGAAGTATTTTCTCCTTGGTAGAAAAAAAAGTAAGCTAACATATTTTCAGATATAAGTAAACCAGAGACACTTAGGAAAATAATGGTATATATGCAATGCACAGTTGAGATCTACCAAACTAATGGCATATGTGCCACTACATTGTATAGCCAAACTATTTTATAACAGACGTTTCTGAAATCTCCTCCAAACCTTTCAACCAAAATTCCTGGAACTTCACCAGCTCCTCTCCACACAGTAGTGATCAAATCAGCTGGAGAACTCACATTGCATTCAATACCACTGGCACAAATAGCAGTTTTCTACTATGTAATTTTGCATAACATAGTCATCCTTGCTTTAATATATGCTTATTCACAGTTCGTTTTGCAGTAAGTATCCTGCACTAGTACTTAACATAAACTTTCTTGCAAAAAAAGTTGTTGCCTTGCCATTTTCTGCACTTCAGCATTTCTAGTGGTTACAACCAATACACACTGTAGTAGTTACAAATTAGAAAACTGCTTAGAACTTCACCCCAGAAACTTTACTACACTCGCACAGGAGCTATTTGGACACACTGCACACAAACACACATACCTGGCTCAGAGGGTTCAGCAAAGTTCAAAAGGTGGCTTCTTCCAACTTATTTGATGCTGCCATCAACTGCATAGCTCAAAATAATTCCTTTCCAAGATCCTGATGGGGTCTCTGTGCAATGTTGTCTTTGTCTATGCTTCTCAGCCTCTTCCATACGAATCCCCTACAATCCACCGACAGAGCTGCAACTCTACTCAAGAACATCTTGCAGGCCAGGGATGAATAAAGTATCAAGAACATAATCCTTGTCCATTGTGAAATAAGAGGTCGCCTTCCTCTTCTGGAACAGTCAGTGTGCTTCATTCCAATTGTAGCACTCATTCCAGCTTTTTTCCCAAAACTGTTTCTTTAGAGCAAACTGTATCCAATTCAGCAAAATATTTGCACATCCAGACATACACCAGATTATTCCAGGGTAGAATGTTCAGCCTTGGCAGTATCCATATTTCAAAAAATTCAGATACCCAGAGGTAGCAAGTAGCATGCTGCTTCTGTGACTCTTCAAATATATTCCACATACTTCCAATAATGAACAGGCAGAGATGAATCAAATAGTTGTTGGCAAAAAGTAGTGTAATAAATCCAAGTAAATGAAGCAACTCAAACAGACAAGGAAATTCCAGAAATCTCATGTTGTTCCAGAATATAAATCTGGTTGTACTATGAAAATCACTATACAACATGTGTCATCTTACAGTAGGTATCACATGTAGAGAGTGATCTGGCTGATGACAAGTGGATCTTCCTTGTAGAAGACACAACTCAAATATGACAGCAAATTTGTGCAATTTGTTAACAAACTTATTTTGCTGTGGGACAGCCTTCAGGCTTACAGAAGTGTCCAGACATTACCAGTAATAGCTCTAGTGTAGTCAAAGCCCAAAAGAGCAGCAAGAAAACATGACTGGAAGTGCCTACAGAAAGCCATGGCGGTGAATAAAGATAGTGAGACCAAATAAGATTACTTGGGAGTCTGAAAAGAGATCTGTAACGCGAGACAGGAAGCCAACAAAGGCATAAACTGAGGATAGGATCACAATTAAATAGCAGGAGAAAGAGCAGACATTAGTAGCTGTAATTACAAAAAGAGGAAGGTCAGGCAAGAAAGTTACAATCCAAGGAAGTCATTGAAGATACTGAGAAAGAATTTTATTAAACACTGAAGCTAAGGAAATAATGAGGTTAAGCAAAACACTAAAAGAGGGTAAAAATAATTAAAATGAAAAACCAGGCAACTTAGTGAAGCTGAAGTTTATAGTTGTGGTCCAACCAAAGCATCAGCCAGATGTAAATTAAGAGACAGGGAGAAATTAAGTGTGACTCTCAAAGTACTACCTTTAAGTATTTGGCAACAAGATCAGAATACTAAAACAAATAGATTTAGCCTAGATTTTAAAATGCTTTAAAGTTTAACACAACTGGATATATTTTCCAAAGGTTTTACATGTTTAGTGTCCAGAAGAATATGAATTAAAACCTCCAGTGCCACAATCAAAATAAGCAGGTGCTTTATAATCTTGCTTCAGACAGACTGCTAGTTTAGCTGAACCTTGGCCCTCAGCAAACCCCTGATGTTGGAATCCTCACTGTCCTTCCTGAAAACACCTTGTGTTAAGACATGAGCATCCCAACTCAACAGGTTTTTGGTTTGGGATTTTTTTGGGTTCTTCTGGGGTTGTTTTGCCAGTTCTCCCAGCATCAGCATGCCTTGTTTCTGATCTACAGCTTCCCCTATTAATCCAGTTCTGAATTTAACAAACCAAGACTAAGCTGCTGCACAACAGCTTTGATGCATATGCAGATAGATAATAAAAGATCCAACACCTCACCCTTGATCTGGCCAGGACTAGAAGAATGTTTCCCTGAAGGAAAAGGATGTCTTTGGTACCAACACAATGCAAAAGCCTTGTAATATGTGCAAGACAAGCCACTGTTCCAGGATATTTACCTTTCTGCAAGCAGGACAAAGTCCATTCTCATCAGTGCGGATACGATGCCAACAGAAACGGCAGATTTGGTAGCCGCAGGTGCAAGGGAAGAAGTTGATGTCATCAATTTCCAGAGGCTCCATGCAAAGAGGGCATTCCACAGGGTCTTCTTTAGCATCAGGGCTGCGAGACATCTTTATATGTTCGCAGAGCAGCAAAAGTTTATAATAACTTAATAGACCAAGAAGGTCAGCACTTGAAGGTCTGCAAGAGAAGAAGAAAAAAAAAATTAGCACTTTTGACCTCCTATTTTTTGCACGTTTAAGTATTTCAGTTGGTCACTGTTTTCGCTCTCCCCACACAGATCATCCAATAACACAAGTTTATTCCCTAAGAAACCTGAGTTTCTCTTCCTACTTATGAGTCACATGAGAAATATAAAAGATGGTACTGGTGATGTACCTCCCCATCTGGATAGGCAATCACTTCTTTGGCATTTCACTAGCCTATTTGGTTTTCAAACTGTCAAGTTGTAAAGAAATACTTAACAGTGCACACCATAAATTGCTTCTGAGTTCTGCCAGAGCCTTTAAGTATTGCTTTCCCAAAATCATCTACAAATTCAAAGCCAAATCCTTGAATGTAGGACTTCATGTTTAAGATAATTTTATTCCTTTGCTAAGAGATTTGGAACACCATTTAAGTCATCTATTCAGACTTTTCAGTAGAGTTACAGAATTAACAAAAAAAAAACAAAACAAGGAATGCTTCTTACTCAGAAGGATTAGTTTCTTTGTCCATCTCATTGTTTTGGTCCAGAGACTGATCTCAAGATCAACCTGAGGACTTGGGCATTAACAAAGATTTGTCAGGTACACAGCTTTCTACATGTGTAAGACAATTTTCATCGAGTCATTTATGCTTTTTATCAGCATCCAATTTATACCAAGGCACAAAAATATGCATATGGTTGAAAAGACCTTAAATTTTAACTGAGAGTACAGCCACAATAAGATATTTCTGGATCAGAATTTTGAAGTGAACCAAAATTCAGGCCACCATTTTGTTAACTAATTTCTTGAACTCAGACGCTTGAGTATGCTTCTGTCAGTTTAAGAATGCAGCAAGAAAGTTAGTTTCAGACCCAAAACAAGGCACATAAAATCATCACAGAGATAATCAATCAGTTTGGGGTTTTGCTCTTTATTTTCCATTTAAGTAACACTGGATATTTGAAGTTGTACCTAGTCTCAGAAAGCTGCCTCAATCCTGCATGTACATGAGAGAGAATTAAAGGGCCACAGTAGAATGTTTAGGTGGACATTTTGGAGAAAAAAAAAAACCAACCACACACCCACAAACCTAGAAACTCACTGAAAAGCACTGAAAAGATGTGACCAGAATTGCTGATCGGGTGGCCATACTATCTGTAACAAACCACACAACTTCTTTACAGAAAAGTGAGCTCAAAAGCTTTTTTTTAATCCAAACTCTTTTTACAATTACGCTTTTCCCAAAACATTAGTCATGTAATTATAATTTATCCACACACACAATCTGGAGTCCCCTCTACTTTCCCATTGACTTTTCTGTTGCATTTTTAATCAAAACCTACTAGATCATGTATGCAATCTTTTTCCTGGCTTTTAGGAGCAAGTCCAGAAAAATTCTCACATCCACCTACTTGAACAGCAGCAACATTTACTTCTGTCTTCGGAAATAAGCTGACTGAAAGTTTTGAGATCAAACCTTTGCTCAGAGATTTCTCTACATTGCAGTGTTGACCTTACATATCTCTGATTCAATACTTTAGCAACCCAAAAAAACATTATAGTTATAATTGTCAATACTCTAAACCATACTTCTTTGCATGAAGTTTATCTTGCAAAGCCGAAGAGGTTCCAGCTCAAGTTGGGACCTCCCACATTACAGGACAGGATCAGTTTAGCATCAGCCCCGCTATACTTGTCCCTGTCCCGCACATCTCTTCAGGGACAAAAATTCCTCTGCAAGCAGTCAGGAGAGAATCCTGAAGAGGAACAGCATACATGCACACAACCAAAGCACCATCCAAATATATGGCAGAGAGTATACAGCTTTGTACAGGAATAGTCACGTTGCAGTCAGGCTAACCTGTGTTTACAAGCTGATACCAGAAACCTAGACTAATTGCAATTTAGTTTGGTAGGGAGTTTTTTGGTCTCTAGGCTCAAAGTGCAGCTCTAGTAAACATGTATCACTGGCCTAGACAGAAAAATTCCACTGGATATTCACATAAGAATAAGGATAAGAGAACGTATTTTAGATGTGGTAAGCACGATTTCACTACACGGCATGAACTAGCAATGACACCGTCCCATTTCTGACCTTCACAGTGATTAAATCTAAAAGTTAAACTACAGTAATACATCAGCTTTTACTTTGTTATCTGTGCTTCATTAGTACTATATTTGCAATTCATCGTGACAAGCTCAAAACCAGGTTCTGGGGCCTTAACCAGTGTATTCTACAGAGAACACTAACAGAATCTGACCCAAAGGAAGGAAAGGACTAGTTTGCTTAGCAGCTTTATCTTGTTTTTAAGAACACATTCCCACTGGCTGAAGAGTGGGAGCAACTGTTAAAAGGCCACAGCACATTATTTAATTGCTCATTATGCAAATAACTTTACAGACATTTCTCCAGCAACCCCTCCATTTCCTGTAAACTCTTCACACTTGTGTAGCAGCATAACCATTACAATATGAAAATGACTTTAAAAGAAAGAACAGGATAAACTGAACAGATTTTTTTTTCAGTTTAGATTTGGATTTGACTTTGTCACAGATCTCCAAACAATAGGTCAGTAGGCAGACAGCATATTCCTGTGTACTCATTCCACCACATGCTCAGCAGCTTTGAGCCCAGTGAAACACATCTAAATCTATCCTAGACTAGTGAAGCTGTAGTTAAAAGTGCAGTTTTGATGAAACTTCAGCCACCACAGTGAAACTACTAAATTATGAAGTTACTATTTGGAATCTCTGCTAAGACATTTCATCAGTTTATGTGAAAAAAAGCATGACATATTAGCTAGTACCTCTGGGATATGCAGACAGGCTCTAACAAAACTGCAACATGATTAACATTTATGAGCTGTTTAAGTTAACGCTAAGAGTTCAGCAGCTGCTAGCAATAATGCCAATAGCTTGCCTCAGTCAGCAAATAGCCCAGTATTGTACAATAAGGAGTAAAGAGCAGCTGTGTGCCATGTTTCTTGAAACTAAGAAAAAGGCAATATTTATTTACTTGGGAAAAAAACATTCAAGCACCACATGTAGAGATTCTCCACTGAAGTATGTCACCATTTCAGGAGGGTTTATGTATCATGGTTTGTGCCTCAACTCTGCATCAGAACAATGCTTTGTTTTTTTCAATATTGGAATAGCATGTACAGTAAAGCATCATTAATTTATTGTTCATATAGCACCACCAAGCAACACAAAGTAGCTAGACCCCTCTAAGACTTTTCCAAACAATTCAAGATTAACGTCACAGGAAAAGTAACGCAGCAATGGCAAAAAACAAAAGGTAGTATTACACAGTGTTTAAGCTAGAATATTTGGTCTTTGGGATCGAGTTCAAAGAAATTAAATTAATAGCATCTGAAAAGGAGAAAGGTTGTACACATGTACGCACGCCATCAAGCAGCTAGAATTTATCCATACACTTTCCAAGACGTCGACAACTGCAATCAAACAGGGCTCCGACAGCTCCACATCCTTTTTACAAGAGACTCTGCCAAAACATTCATACACACAGGGACAGAACCAAGGTGGACAGTGTCCAGCAGCATGTTTTTGTCTACTAAATTTGCAATCAGTAATAACCAAAAATACAGAAAAAAATACTTGTGCATCTCACCCCTTCCACTATAGCAACCAGCAAGTTCCTTTATTTTCCAAACACATATGCAAAATGGAAAAAAAAAAAAGATAATTTTTCATTAACTTTTTAAAATGCTTACTTAGTGCATTTGACAGCTGTGTCTAATCATCTCCACTGTGCAATTGTTTCTCTTTATGACATCCTCCAAATTTTGCAGTTGGGAAAAAGATCCTACTATTTGAGGGTACTCACCTAAGCACAATTTTAGTTCTAATACAGCTAGTGATTTCAGTCCATTTGGATGCAGATGTTGCCTTCCCTTTTTCACTTGAGCGAGTTTAGCTTTCAGCCATTTCTCTTTCCTATTTCATTTTAAAAGGGGTCATAAAAAATAGGGGCATTAGCTTGTTATCCATACTTCTTCCTCAAGAGCACAGGTTTGAGACTTCACACACACTCCATTCTTATCTCCCCATAGTAGACACCAGGACATCTCTCTGCTTGGTGGCAGTTCATTTTAGTAAACATAACCCTTAAAGTTTAAGTCCTCTGCAAGAAAAGCAGCTAGCTCCAAGGGATACAGACACGTTCTCCCCTTCACACAATGTGCTGAATCCAGCCTTGCTCTTTGCTTTAAGACACTCAAAGTGTCACAGCCAAACATTGTCAAAATCTAGTAACAAAAAACCCGAGTAAAGGACCCTCATCCCAGAAAATATCTGGAGACTTAGGGCCTCTTGAAAGAAAAAATCCAGACACACGTTAGCTAATGTTTCACTTGAAGTTCAAACATACCTGACACTTGAAGTGAAACAGGTTGGAGTCTATGCACCAAACCCGTAAGGGCTCATTAAACTTACGCAAACAGAAACTCATACTTTTTTTCATGGCCTTGTATCTTTTGAAACTCATCAGCCCTGAGAAGTCTCAAAAACACACTGTGGATGCTTCCTGCATTAACACCACAGGGAAGGTAGTCCCCAAGACGCCCATTCCCACTTGGCCGAAGGATTATCTCCCTTTCCACACTCCACCTCTGTGGTGATCCCATATCCAAGCCGGAGGCAAAGAGACAAGCAGACTGCAAGCAGCAGCTGTAACAGGTTACCCCCCTTCCTGGGAGCAGCAGCAATTCTGTCGGCACAGCTGACCCAGGGGCACAGAGGCCCAAGGCCCACACTCAGACTAACTCCTCCCTGATAGTTGCTGAAAGAAAATCAGCCTTGATCTCCCTCAGTCTCTGAATGTAAGGTAGGCTGTCACTTCACAGCATTGCAATGACCACTGGAAGGTTTACATCAAAACTTATCACATGCAGGCTACAAAGAAGAACCCATTTTTACTTTAAGCACACAGACTGAGGAAGATCCAGTGAGTTTGTAATTCAGCCCCAC